TTGCTAGAAAATGTCTTGAATATACTATGCGAAACTAATAAAATAATTTTTGCCTTCCAACTGCTATCTGCGTGGCCTAACAACACTCACCATGACTGCTACCCTTACATATACATATGTAAGCAAGAGGAATAAAAATTCTGAGACAAGCATGACTTATGACTTATATAAGTACTATGGTTCTAATTCATCGATTTATGTATGTAATGGTAGTTAGTTATTTTTACTACACCCTAAAAATACTTGAAAAGAAATGGTTAGCCGTCGTAATTTCACTACCCCTGTAAATAAATTTCCCTACTGTTAAAAAAAATCATTTGACAATGGGAATAAATTCCTTTTGCCTGTCTGCATCGTGCACTACTTTAATAAAGAAATTTAAAATATTTTATTTTTATTTTAATAGTAATTTTTATAATTCATTGAATTTCATTCAAATTTATTAATTAATTTCTTACTCTTTCTAATCAGCTTTACTTGAAGAATCTGAATGTGTTCTAAAGTATAAGGAGGGAATGAAGTGTTGTGGTCGAGAATCACACGTTGCTAATTTACCTGTTCTTGAAGTTTTTGAAGAACCAAGAAAAAGCTTGACTGAAAAGCAAATATCAACTTGCTGGTAAGACTCATCGCAAATTAATAAGACCTTATAACTAAGTTTTTCAGTGCTTAAAATTAGTAATCTAATGCTGGTTTTTATTTGATGAATTACTCTTAATATTCTGTAAATTTGGGGTAAGCATTCAATTTTATGACCAGTGCTCTCCCTATTTACCATGACGATTCATTTATTTAAGAAAAATTCAGAGTTTTTCAATACCAAAAATAGTTGCAAACAGTTTACTCCAAAGTAGTGTAGGGAAACTACATTCAACATATGTCTTGGATATAGCGTTTCAATACACTAATGTTCTTGTTACACTACATGGAATAAGGTAGACTCCACCATTTTTGTTATTCAATAACACTAAAATGTATAACTGCAGTACGATAGAACCGTGGTGGCTTAGAAGACAGAGCGCTTACTACCCAATGAGGTGAACCGGATTCGAATCTCAGCGAGGGATGGTCGATTCAAACCCTACATTCTAACCCTACAAACAATTTTATAAAAATATTTTTATTGCTTCCAACATGTTCCCTCTCAACAAGTGATTAAAATGTTTAAGGTTAGTTATAGCTTTTTATTGTTTGAATAAATTCCCAAATAACAAAGATTAACACTTCTAAAAGATAAAAAATTTATAAACAAAATTATAAAATTAAAGGAATTTTAAGAAATACTGCACATGGTTCATCACATTTTCCATTTTTTGGAATGACTCAGCGTGGGCAGTATTGGGCAGTATTCAACTAATATTGAATTCTAAACTTTAAATAGTATCAAATATGTATCAAATCCCAAACATTTTCGCATCCTTCGAGTTATTTTCACCGTAACTTTTTCTTTTCTTTTTTTCTTTCGCTTTCTTTTTAAATTAGACCTATTGTCTAACGCAGCTAATTTAAAACAAACTCGAGACAACAAATTTAAGTTTATTTCTAAGAATTTGATACAATTACTTTTAATATATCAAGCTCTTACTGTCTATCCTTATTTGATGCCAATTCTATTTCTTGAACTAATCCAAATAAAAAATTTTCATTTTCTTTTCATTTTCTATCCTTCAATATTTACTCCTAATTAGTTTACTAAATTGTAAGTGTCACTATTTTAATTTACTTATTTTAATTCTCTTTTCAGTCCTTTATCTCGTTACTTGGAATGTGTGTCAGACACAGTTATGGAATGCGGCAGCGGCGCTGTGAATCTCACTAATGAATATATCAGGCGTGCAGCTGGAGAGCAAGTTCAAGGATTATGCCAAGGATTGCCCAACTACCCGAATCCAGACAACATAACGTGTCCTGAGTCAGTTCCTGTTTGTTCGGGATGCTACACGCTACGTCTAGAAAACTATTCGTACATTTTTATGTTTGCTATAATAGGCTTATTGCAGTATAAATATTTTTAAAGTCTTTGTTTATACGGGTGCAAAAAGATTCTCAAGTGAAAATATTTTGAGTGAGTTAATTGTTCATAGCAACATACACTAACAAAACTGCATAGGTTGGAGCTAGAACAAGGCAAATGTAATTATCTTTAATATTATCCTATTTTTGTAAGTTTTAAAGGATTTTTGACCACTGCTTTGATTAGTAGAAGAACCGGACGCTAATTTACAATCCAATGTCTTTTAAAAACTCATTCTTTTATTTGGAGATTTTTCTCGTGGCTGTAGTTAATCGCTATAATAATACAAACACTTTAATTCTTTTAAAATCTCTTACCTGAACTAAACAAGGGTCAAAATCATGTTTTACTTTACTTAAACATGCCTAATGGGACATCGTCTCTTTAAAAGCTGTTGGATTGGAAACTAGCGAATTGGGCACACATGTAAAACCATTTCTTTGCTGCGTGATAAACTATGCAAATGTATTGTCTTTTTAACTTTCATTTGATTCTCAGCAAAAATTTGTGTATCTTTTCTTTCACTGTTGTACTATATTCCTCAATTGTGTTAACTTTTTGTGTACTTTAGATTTAAACATCAATTTAAAATTTCAGTTTATTATCCAATACTCTATTATGTCGCAGAGAAATATTTTTTTCTTTTCGTATTATTTATTTTCTTTTAATATTATTTGTGTGTGAACTATTATTCAAAAGAAATTCATTTATTTAACTGGAGGAAAAGAAATATATACTTTAATCAACAATTAATTGAGCTGAATAATTGTTCAAAATGATTTTTTACTTATTACATATCATTTTGATCAATATTCAAAAATGCAAACCAGCACTTAAAAAATTATAAAGCTAGCTTAAATTCTTTGTATTCAAAAGTCATATATTGTGATGTTTTTGACTTTAGAGTTTTCATTTTGCATTAGTAATGCATAATGGTTTCTTTTTATGCATAAAATAAAGATTATGAGTAAAATTATGTATGAAGCTTGTATTCAGGGATTTATTGAAATTTTTTTAATAGTTGCTAAGTACATGTTTTGATTCATTCAAATCATTCAAATGCTAAGTATATATTTTGGCAGATAAGTAAACAATCTTAAGATGAAAAACGCTCAAATTACTATTTAACAAAGATATTTAATATAAATTTCTTTGTTTTATTATAAATTTTCCTAAGAATTTTCGTATTTAATGATTGTATTTAGCTGACTTTCATCATTTATTCAAAATTCTTTGATTTTTGATGTTTTATTGAAACAATTTATTGAATTTTACCTATTTCATTCGATTAAGTAACCAATTAATGTAAATCAATTATTTTTATTCGTATTAACTAAAGTTTCTTGTAACAAAATTTTCCATCAGTATTTGTTGTCTTTCTTTGTTGTTTGTGTAAAATCTTTTGCATAAATGTGAATAAAATAATTCCCTTACATTATTACATTTCTTACACTATTACACACCTCACACTGTATTGATATATATTGATACATATTGCTCCTGCATTGAAAATTTTTGGTTTGGCTATATTAATTTAATATTAGAAAGTACTGCCGACTGGCCTGTGTAGGGGGCAGGGAACTGTCCTTGCATCAGAAAGGTTCTGGGATCGAATCCCGGGCAAGGCATGGATGTTTCTTTCTCTCTTCTGTGTGCTCTATGTCCTTTCTCCTTTGTGTGTGAATGTGACCCGCCCTATGAACGGATTGTGGTTGTGTGAATGGCGTGGCAGAATTCGAATTCCTGGCCATAGATGGCGCCACTGAAAAACAGGAACAATCACACCCCCATTGCCTAAACAGGCATACGGCAAAAAAAAAATTATTTAGAAAGTACTTCTTTTCTGATATAATAGTGTTAGCTGGTGATGAAATTAGATCTTTTCCGTATTTTTACCGCTTTTTTTAAAATTTTCTAATAATTTCTTAAAATTATTTTTTAATAATTTTCTTTTCGTTTGAAAAAATATCCTTTGCCATGCTCTCTTTCTATTTCTATGAAATCCGTGCAGGATTTAGCGATTTATTTCCTTCTAATAGACGTTTTTTTCATCATATTCATTAAAAAATTCAGAAATGTAAGGCTAAATCGGTATGATTGTCAATAAAAAAACTATATTGAAAATAAGTCATAGTGAACAGTTCATAATAGTTTGGGCCACGGTCTTACTTAAAAATAATGGGTAAATCAATACATTAATTATTTACTAAAACCATATACATTTAGTTAATATATATGGTATATAAATTTACTAAAACCATAACTGTGTTGTAAAAAACGATATTTGTTATTATGTATAACTAATATAGAAACCAATATCAGATGAACATTTTTGTAGCGGCTTACATACAATGTAAACAATTTTTGCCTATTCAGTAGTTCACGAAAATATAATTATAATGGCGAAATTTTAAATGAATAACGAAAAAGTAAATTAACAAAATACTAAAATGGGAGGACAACTAAAACAAATTTTATTTAAGGCCATCGCATGTTGTGTGTCACATGCATCACACTTAAAAATATTTTTTCTCAATGGAAGTTCAATCAAATAAATTTGAACTAATTTTGCAATATAAAAATCTAAGGAATCAAAAATTAAATAAAGATTAGAGTTAGTATTTCAAATTTAGGACAACTTTGATACGTAATAAAATGCTTTCTCAGATCTTAGCAATAACTAAACTTTTGAGAAAAGGAAGTTGATCTAGAGCATATTTATGATTGCCGCAAAATAATGTCAAATAGTATCATTTTAGTTTTAATTTAGAACAAAATGGTGTCAAATAGTATCAATATAGTTTTTCAATCAATTTTTTTAGTGCAAAAGAACTTGAACAATAAGAAGCATAGTTTGTTAGAAGATATAAAACAAAATTGAATTAATTGTGTCAGTAAGATGATTGTGTCAGTGAATTGATCGGGTCAGTAAAATAAGCTATCGGCGAGGTAATCAAGTTGATGCAGTGATCATATCGGTGAAATGAGTTGTTGGCGAAGTAACCCGTGCGACCTTTGCCGAAGTGAACCCTTGCGGTGGGGCTAACCGTGGGAAATTTTAGTTGTTTTTTCTCTCCATATAACGCAAATGTGAGTTAGTTCCATCAAAAGGTCCTCCACTAAGACTAATTTGTCCCAATGCTTGATTCATATTCCTTGTAATAGGTAATGCTCCTTGTTTTCTGAGTTAGTCTCAAAACTACCAGGCTACATAGAATTGGGTCGGCTCTTCAACGCCAGTTATAAAATAAAATATATGATGATCATGTTGGTGATATGATGTGTCGGCGACAGGATTGTAGGTGATATGAACCAAAATTTTCCATATTAGGAAGGATCTTTCAGGTTTTTTGAAGAAAAAACCTAAGGTTTGTTCTACAAAATAAAAAGAAATTACACGAAGCTGTAAAAAAAAATTGTGGTAACATTTTCAGAAAAGACAATTCTGACTAAATTTAGCAGGAAAAGTAATTTTTATTTCGTAACTATTCTGGTAAGTGTGTGCACACTCGCTTCGTAAAAGTTTTGTTGAGAAAGAATTTACAAAATACATGGAAATTAGAAAGAAAATAATTCGAAACTAAATAAGCAAAATTTATAGTATAAATTTTTTGCTAAAACATACACAGTTCTTATAAAATACTACAATACATTAAGGGACACCTTTTTCAAAAATCCATTTACTTTGGTTTTTTAACAACACAATATTTTGTCGTTTCAATATATTTGATCATTAGAATTGGACTGAAAGTGTGTTTTAGCACAGAAAATACCATGGTTTCTCTATTCCAATACAATCACAAATATTTAGTTTTGAAAGTAATAGTTGTAACTAGTAATATAGATTGTAACTACTTATACTAAAAATTTCAATATATTTGATCATTAGAATTGGACTGTAAGTGTGTTTTAGCACAGAAAATACCATGGTTTCTCTATTCCAATACAATCACAAATATTTAGTTTTAAAAATAATAGTTGTAACTAGTAATATAGATTGTAACTACTTATACTAAAAGTTTCAATATATTTGATCATTAGAATTGGA